GATCGCTCTGTTCAGATTCAGTTAATTCAGTCTCACTTGTTCATTTCGTTCAGAACGAAAGAATATAGTATCTGCTTTCAGAAGATTTTGAAATGATACTTTTTTCATGTGCCCTAATTTCAAATATTCATCTATGAATGCATCGTATTGTTCTTTAAGGCGAGGTTCTCTCAAAAAATTGTTTTCGAGGCGTCTTGAACGGACACCCGCTCTAGGTATTGTTTGTCCTAAAACTTCCGTGCACCGTTTGAATAGAATTCTAAATATAAATCTTCCTTTTTCATCTCGATAGGTGGTCTTATCGTAGAATTTTTCGCAGATTTCGTCATCTAATAGATATTTATTAATTTCTGGCAACTCTTCTAATTCCCAAAATTTCGTCAGTTGGCTATCTTCTTCATGTCGGGAAATCATGCTGGTCACTTGAAGTGGAAGGTGGTTTGACGATACCTCCTTCTCGTCTCGATGAAACCCTAAATATTGGCAAGCTGAGTTGTTTCTTCTACTTGGGCTTGTTGCTTCCAGAGATTGAAGTCTTCTTTCAAGAAATTCCATGAATTGTAGGTATAGTCTTGAATTTTGTGTGGTTCTGTTATCGTTTGTTCATACATCTTGTTGGTTTCGGAATCCCATTTCCGACTGATTATTCTGATGGTGATTGGACCCCATGACTGTATGCTTACTCCTATATTTTCTAGCCCCCGAGTACATTCTTTAATGATGTCATGCAAGAGCTTTAATTTTCCAGCGTTTTTGGTGGAGAGGTTTGGGATAAGGTTTAATAACTTGTCTATCAGTTTCGATGCTAATATTCGTTAGTTTTCATATTTATTCTGGAGCAAGTCTCATATTGCCTCGTAGTTGTTTTCAGTGAGTCTTGTAGCTTCTCATGTGTTTTGAGTAATTGTATCTTCTCTGCCTTGGAAAAATGTATGTTGTCATGGACTACTCGCAATAAAACATCATGGAAAGGGCCCCAGTTCTCGTATTCTCCGTGAAATGTTGGAATAGTTATTTGTGGTGACGCAAGATGTCTTACAGGCCTGATTGATTGGGTCTGTGGTAGTTGCGGCTGACATGAAGCTTGTGCCTCGATTGTTTCCGTTGACAATTTTTCCAACGTGTCTTCATACTTCATCTGATACTCATAAAACTTATCATCTCTGAAGAAGGCACTGGTGAATGATTTTTCATGGATTATTATTTCTTCGTGCAATTCTTGAATAGTTTTCCATTGTTTTACTAGCTTTTTCTGTTGTTATTCACACTTTTTTCTTGATTTTGATTCAGTTAGATCTTGGTTGATTTGGTCGATTGTTCTATCCAATTCCTCACACTTAAGATTTTTTTTTTTTCAAGAGTAAGAGTTGTGGATTATTTTGTAATTCATCAATGATCGTTTCAAGGTACTTCTTGCAAGTCTCATACCTCTCTTGAATTTATTGCAGGTATTTTTTAGTAAAGTAGGCGTGGTTTGGTTCATTGAACTTGATCATTTTCTTAAACTGCATCCCATAGATCTTCTAGTGCTCCAAGTTTTTGTTCTACATATTGATTGGCCATCTTTTTTACGGTTGGTGTAAAGCTGCATGATCTTTTTGCGTAATTCTTCTTGCTGAGCAGCACGTAAGTTCATTTCTTCCGCCATTGTTCCATTGATCTTGAAATGGGCTTAGTTGGACCTCTGGAACCGCTATTGGTGAGACCTCTATTGGTGGGACTTCTGGGAATCTGGTTGGGCGTGGTTGAACATCTAGGACCGCTTTTGATAGGACTTCCGGGTGGTTGACGTGTTGGGAGTTGTTCGACCTCTGGGACCACTGTTGGGCTTGGTTATACCTCTGGGACCGCTGTTAGTGGGACCTCTGGGACTCGGTTGATAGCTGTAACCCCTTTTGTTAATGAATTAACTATGGGTCCATAATATGCTGAGTTAGCTCAGCGAAAAAAAAAAATTTGGTGTGGGTTGATAGTTTAATCAGTACAGAATGGCGAGAGCGCCACTGAATTTGAAAAAAAATTTATAAAATTGCACAAAATATGGAAGTGTGAAAACTCAGAAACACACCTAGACAATAATTAGCAAACGATAATTGGTAATCCTGAAAAAAAAAATAATGCACACAACTCAACTCTCGACCTATGGGTAAAACAATAAAACAATTAAATAAAATTTCAAATTAAAACAGTGTATATTTCACAGTCAGTATTGGTTTATTCCAAAATATAAGATCAACTATTGTTGGTAAGCCACCGTACACTTAATCAAAATAAAAGAATAATAATAATAATAATAATAATAATAATGATAAAAATAGCATAACAAATTGTACCTCAATATACTTGCCTCATAAATACATTAACATTAGTTACCAATATCCTTTGTGCTACTAAGCTTCTGAACGAACGCGGAGTACCAAGGGGGTACAAATTGTACCCCTTGTTTTTTTGTTAAGTTTGGAGAGGAAAATCCTGCTAGACATAAAAAAATACAAAATTTTTGTGGAAATTTTCTTCAAAATAATGTTATTTTTATAAAACACATTAGATACTCAATTTAAATTTCCATTTCCATCGCACTTGTTGCAATAATTGATTTTTCTTTGATGGCCATGATTTTTACAGAAATGGCCATTTCCAAGGAGCACAAGTCTATACAAACCGCACAATACAACGATTAGCAAAACAATAAACATGCACATCAGTTGAGGGAATAAACACGTGTGATTTCGTCGAGAACTCCGCATGAATCTATTTGGCAAAGTGAAAGGTATCAAACCCTAAGCGGAGTACAAATTGTACCCCAGCCAACAAAATTAATTATAATTTGAAAATTTTAAATTGTAAATGATTGCTATGATGTTATTAGTTCACTAAAGTATTGTTAATGGCTATGATAAAAGCACAATACATTTGAAAAATATTTCTTTCAAATACACGCAATTTTGTGCGTGTGGAGTACACAATGTACCCCCTTGGTAGCACAAAGGATATCATCAATTTGGAAGGAAAATATAAGGATTTACGTTTCCGGAAAGTAATTTAAAAAATTGAATGATTAAAGAAATTCTATCAATGAATATGGTCAATCTCTACAAAAAAATAGATTTAAAAAAAACAAGATGTACCTGTAAAAAAAAATCAAAGGTTGGGCTATAAGTCAACTGGTCGACTTGAAGGAAATCCTCCGATATATAAGTTATAAGAGCCCGGGTTAAAAATTGATCAATTTTCGACGGCAAGCGATTATCCAAAAATTCAAATTCAGAACATGTTGTCCAACCTTGACCCTTATTCAGATCACTTATTGATAAAATTGATAAAATATAAGGCAGCATCAGAAGTTATGCTAAAATAGTAAAATTAATAAAATTAATAACCTAAGAACTAATTTCCTTTTGCCATTGTGTCAAGAATAAATTTCTACAGTGTCATATATAAAAAATTATAATAGCTTTGTTAACTGTAAAAATGATTTTATGAAATAAAAATTGTAAATTAAGAGTTATTAGTGAAACTTATACAAGCCTCCATCCCAACAGAAGGCAGATCAGGAAACCATCCATTCTCGTTTCTCGATATCTGGACGAAAGAACTGGTAGACTCCAGCCCAGAATCCAGGCAGGAAAGGGACTATAATCGTCGTCAAAGGTGCAGCACACATATCAACCTGTGGGGTCTTGATTTTAGTAGGGTAGGAAGCCCTTCAAAGGTTCAATCTCAAGCTCCACGGAAATGGTGTTGATTTGAAAATGTGGCCTTTTTTTGGAATGGACTTGTTGGGGAAATCGGCCGTTCGAAAGACCCTAAGTAATAATGCATTCCTTGAAAAGCCATTACTTATAAAACTTGAAAGAACTTACCACGTTTTTGGTTGGGAATTCAAACCTTAATCAAACCGCAATCACGAGACTTTTTGATTCGAATTTTTCTTAAATCGACAGATTATTGCCACACGCAACTTTAATTCGTTAAACAAGGCAACGCCCAAAGGCCGGTAAGATATATTTTTTTTTCGATCAGCACTTTCAGCCAATTAACCTTTCAGTTCAACGAGACAATTTAAAAAAACCAGAATCGATTTCCTACGGGCCAGGTAAGTACGGATACAGCGCTTCCTCTACAGATAGCCACGGAAATTTTTGGTACTAACCAATATGTCAAATTTAAAAGAAAATTGCGCCGTCTAGTGTAATAATTTAATAATTGCTATATAATAAATAGCAGGAACCCTGTACTCTTTAAATGTCAGTCACCAGACTGTCAACATTTAAAAAGGAAAAAGGACAAGTAGGTAACTTTAAACGTTACATAGCTGCTTGGTTTGGTTGGACCTCTGGGACCGCTACTGGTGGGACCTCTGGTAATCAGTTGATAGCTGCTTGGTTTGGTTGAACCTCTGGGACCATTGTTGGTGGAACATCTGGGACCGCGGCTGATATCTGCTCAGCTTGGTTGGACCTGTTCATCGCTTCTGATGGGATTTCTAGGAATCTGGTTTGGTTGGACCTCTGGGACCGTTGTTGGTGAAATCTCTAGGAATCTGGTTGATCGCTGTGGTGTGGTTGGACCTCTGGGACCGATGTTGATGGGACCGTGGCTGATATCTGCTCAGCTTAATTGGACCTGTGGATCGATATTGGTGGCACCTCTAGGAATGTGGTTACCTGCTAATTCTTGACCGTTGTAACTTTTTGCTTGAAGGACCATGTACGCTCCAGGAGACTGTGTTTCTTTGGATGGTATTTTCTGCTTGATCCTGATGGTTTAGGATAGAAGAGCAGAAGGGGCTTAGTACCAGACAGGACTTAAAGTCAGCACTTGCACTAGGGCGTAAGATAGGTAACTTACAACCAGACTAAAGCACTTGTTGTAAGTTGGAAAGAAGACTTCAGCCAGACAAAGCACTTGCTATGAGGGGTTAAGTTAAAAACCTGTAACCAGACATAGCACCTGCTACATGGTGACTTAGGCACAATTTAAAGTAAGAGAAACAACAATAAGTTTGAATCTGATTTTATTGATGAAATTGATCGCCATTTATATAAACAATTGAAATTGTTACCAGAAGTTGCTTAATCTTGAACAAAAATGAATGAAAAAAATGAAATAAACTAATGAAATAAATAAATATACAAATAAATAAATAAATAAATAAATGAATAAATAAATGTGCTTAAATTCTAGTTTCCACAAAGGCTGTCGTCGGGTATAAAGCTTCTAAAAAGCTCCACAAATTTACCAAATTCGCAAAAAGCTTCGCAGTTAGGAATTTGCATCTGCTCCGGCTCTTCACTATTGTAATTTTGATAAAAAACCTAAAAAAAAAACTCGCGTTCACCTCTCAAAACTCAAAACAAATCCACTCACTTTAAATCCATACTCTCCGTTAATTTGGTGCAATTCGACTATAACGTGAGCGCCATAATTTGGAATGTGAGGCTCAAACACTCCAAGCATAATCAAAAATTGAGCCACATTATTCTCGTGAGCCGAATACAAGTAAATCTTCTTTTCATTATTAGTATTGAGCATTTTAGCTTTCGTGTCTGCGAGGATTTTTTTCAGGAAATATCCTGAAGCCAATTTTCTTAAATTTTGAGTAGCCATCATCACAGAATATTCTTTCATGGCTAAATCTGTTATTATATCAGGCCACACTTTCTCGGTCCATTGTGGTAAAACTAAACCGTATTCTTCTTCAGTTGATAAGCCAAAATAGAGATTGTAAATGTGTTGAAATGTGGTAACGTTAAGACCGGAATTTCTACAATAATAATTGTAAATTAATTGCTTGAATCATTATTAACAAAAAAAAAATTACTTTGCCACGTAATTAAAAACCTTCCTGAATTTTTTTAACTTATTCCTATACTCCAAAGACCTTTCAACTTCATCGTACTCCTTTAAAAAGTTAGGACACAAAACTCCAAGTAAAACTTTATCCTCACTTCTAGGTAAATAGTTGTATGGTACAGGTTGCCACAGTATATCTGGGTTCCAAATTTGTTCGTTTTTTGTTGGAAATAAGCCTGCCAAAGCCAGTTCTAGGGAAGCTTTGGTTCTATTATAATCGGTTGAAATTGCCTCAACTTCACTTGGTAAAAATAAGTCGTTGAGGAACGATTTGTAACGAAAACGCAGTGAAGTGCCAATGGAATATTCACGAAGTTTTCCAGCCTATAAAGCAATTATTGTTTGTATTTTAATTAATTAACTAATAAATACTTACATTAGTAAGTTGGCCCAATCCGTATGGATAGTAAGTTTCATTAAGATATGGATCGTTGGGATATAATTCCTGGAAGCTATCTGGTGTTCTGTTTCCATGCCTGAAAATCTTTGAAAAAAATAATTTAGAGTCGTTTTTAGAATAGGTAAGTCTCTTACCACATGACTTAGTACTAAAGTATTTGAAATTTCATTATCTTCGTGATCATGGTGATAATGATGGTGATGTTGATGATCAAAATAATCATTATGTTGAAATTCATCTTGAAAATATGAGCTTTTTGGATAACTTTGCACTAAACTCACTAAACACACGAAAAACACAATAATTGAAGCCATTTTTTACTTTGCTTGTTAAGACAAAATTCTTGAATGTGATTAAACCATAAAAACACCGCATTTTATATAAAAAAATTCATCTAAATGTAGATTGGTAATTTTACAGAAATTATTAATAATGCGAATAGATTCCTTGAATTGTGTTGCATTTTAAAGAAATCGGAAATTCATTAAGAAAGTGTTAGGATGGCCAGGGAATCCGAAGAAATGGGAAAAATCCGGTAGCAAATTGTGTGTGATTAATTTTTGCACATTTTGCGGTTTATCAATTAAACTTTTTCCCAGCCTAGAATTACCCACAAGTAATTGGGAAAAAATAAACTGATCATTGAATATATTCACTTTAAAAGTTCACACGCTCCGGCGTTACTATTATGATTATGCTGAAAAATACCTTATTTAATTATTTGACCGTGATTCCATGTAATTTCGATCTAAATAAAATCGAATATAATTTCTCGGCGTCAGCTCCAAAATACCCAGTTTTTGGGGAATAAATGGGAATTGGGATTTTTAAGGACATTAAAGCACTTATTTCAATTTGGAACAATAATTGAAACTTATAAACTCTTTGATACAAATTTATATTGAAAATAGAAAAATTAATTTAATTTTAAACGCATTTTATTCCACATAAATCTTCTGACGGTATCAAATGTTCTGTGAGTGCTATAAATTGATCCAGAGGACAAAAGCTGCCGCAATTTGGTATCGACAAAAGTTGAGGACCTTCTCCTGTATGATTTTCGTAGATAACCTGAAAATATACTCATATAAAAATTACTAAAACAACCGAATCTATACCTCAACCCTTTTGAAATAGGTAATATTACAATATACCAAGGTGTTACAAATTCGCGAGTAAGTATGGTAATTATAGGAGATACAGGATACAGGGTGGGTTGAAATAGACTATTAGAGCAGAGTTACGCAATTTCTTGCTCACCAAAATGCCGTTTCGAAGTTAGAAAGAAGCTACCAGAAGGATTTCGAAATATGAAGTGTTTAGCACAATTCATTTGAGAAGTGCCTATCATCAGATACCCATCAAAGAACTGGATAAACCATACACTGCATTGGAAGCTGCTGGTAAGTTGCATCAGTTCCGAAGAATACCTTTTGGTGTAACAAATGGAGTTGCTTGCTTTCAAAGGGTAATTGACTTAATAATTTCAGAAGCAAAATTGACAGGCGTTTATGCTTATTTTGGATGATGTAACCGTGTGTGGCGAAAATCAAGAGAAACATAATCAAAATTTGAAGACAGTTCTAGAAGCCGTCAGAAAACGTGGACTTACACTGAATCAAAATAAATGTTCATATGCCCAAAAATCAATCAATATCTTAGGCTACACTATAGAAAACAGATCTATGAAACCGGATCCAGACAGACTTTCGCCACTTTTGAACTTACTGGTACCCAAGAGCACAAGTGAACTTCAGAGGGTACTAGGAATGTTCTTCCATTATTCTAAATGGATAAAGAACTTTTCAAACAAAATCAGAAGTCTCGTCAGCTGTAAGTACTCTCCTTTACTAGAAAATCAAATCCTGGGTTTTGAAACGATAAAGACAGACATTGCAAACTCACTCCTTTGATCAATAAATGAACATGAAACTTTAGTTGTGGAAACTGATGAATCAGAATTCTGTATAGCTGCGACTCTAAGCCAATCGGGAAAACCTGTAGCTTTTTTCTTAAGGACCTTGTCAGAATCAGAAAAAAAGTATTCATCTATAGAAAAAGAAGCGTATGCATGTGTAGAAGCGTTAAGAAAATGGAGACACTATCTAATGGGACGACATTTCAAACTTGTGACAGATCAGCAAGCAGTTTCCTTTATGTTTGGTACTAAACATTCTAGTGCAATTTATCGGCCTAAAAATAAAAACACAGTAGATGATGCATTCTCGGGAATTTCAGCAAGTTGTACAATAGACAAAATGTTCCAACTACATCAAGATTTGTGTCATCCGGGCATTACTAGGATGTATCATTTTGTCCAAATGAGAAACCTACCCTATTCTCTAGAAGAAATTAGAAAAATGACTGAAGTGTGTCCAGTGTGCAACAAAATCAAACCAAAATTCCACAAAAATTTCAATAGCTACCTGATTAAAGCTACAAAACCAAAAACGCCTAAATATTGATTTCAAAGGACCACTACCTTCAAAAGGTAATCATAAATACATGCTTACCATTGTGGATAAATACCTTCCGACCGATTTCCTTTTGTTTTTCCTTGTTCGGATGTCACAAGTGCAACTATCATAACATGCTTTGACCAGTTTTTTGCAATATTTGGAATGCCTGCCTACATTCATTCAGATAATGAATCATCTTTAGTATCTAAAGAACTCAGTAAATATTTGCAATCCCGAGGAATAGCTTACAGTCTCACCACACCATATAACCCAAAAGGGAATGGCCAAGTAGAAAGATATAAAAGTATAATTTGGAACGCAGTGTTATTTGCTCTTGAAACAAGAAACTACTCAATTGAACAGTGGGAAACTGTCCTGCCAGATGCATTACATTCGATTCGCTCGCTTCTGTGTACCAGCACTAACTGCACACCTCATGAAAGATTATTTGCATACCAGAGAAGATCTACAAGTGGCACATCTATTCCATCTTGGTTGTCAACACCACAGAATGTTCTTGTAAAAAACAAAATAGGAAAAGCAAATATGATCCTTTAGTTGAAGAAGCAGATCTTATAGATGCTAATCCTGAATACGCCTGAATACGCTATGATGATGGGAAAGAAGCTACCATTTCAGTGAAACAGTTTGAAACGTTTGACACCAAGGGGAGACGCCACTCTTCTGAATGGTTCGAACAGCTCAACCTCTTCTGAAATTTTTCAAGATGGTGAACTTAAATCAACCTAATGCAGTGGATAACTTTTCTGATTCTGAAGCAGATGGAGCTAGAACAGAAAAATTTCAAAGACCCAAAAGAAATCAAAAATCGCCGAAGTATCTTGGAGATTACCAGAAAATTGAAGCCTTGAAATCCGAAGGTTTATTCATTACAGGTACAGTTCTAAATAGTTCGAATCTTTTGTTAAATAAATGAATAGTACCTACCACGGTATCTATAGTCTTCTTGCTGATAAAGTCGCAGCAATCAAAATTTTTAATATGGCTGGTGGAACCACAAGTGGCATAGCAAATCGGACGAAGAGTTTATTGAAAAACTAATGAATAAAGTGTGTGCCAGTTTTGTGCATAAGTTGGAGGAAAAAATGGAACAGAAATTTAACAAACTGGAAAACAAAATAACACAGGTATGTGAAAATATTATAGTTATTTTCCTAACAAGTGCGCAAAGTGTTACTTTTCCGCACGCAAACACAGTTATACGAACGACGCGAAGCGGAGTTCGGATACGTGTTTGCGTGCGGAAAAGACACTTTGCGCACGTGTTAGGAACAAAATTTTTCCTACGAGCTTCATATCAGGTAGGTAACAACAAAAATTTAAAAAAAAAACGATAATTTGTTTAATTATTTTTAATTAACTTGAAGGGAACCTATGCATTTATCAAAAAATTACATAACAAAAAAAAAATATAACAGAAAATCATCGTCAGAGCTCTTCATCTTAAAGCGTTTAATGGCGATTTCCATTTGTCATCAGTGCCGCACTGAGTGCATCCGCATCTTTTTCTAAAAGCATGTAACATGTAAGGATAAGGATACATTTTTTTGCCCTGTTTCGACAAATGGAAAATGCTATAAATTTGATGAGAAAGTTTGTAGATGCATATATATAGAAAACAAATCTGACAATGTGTTGAAGTTAATTAAATTTGGTGTTTGTAGGTATAGATGTTAGCTGGAACAGGAACAGAGGAAAAATTTGTCATCATGTGTCAAAGTCGACAGGTGTACTTATTGTTGCTTGACAATTATTTTTACTTTTCGGCACTCAGTGCGGATAAGGCCTGTATCCGCACTGAGTGCGGAAAAGTGCAACTTTGAGAACCGAAATGCGTGCGGAAAAGTACTACTTTGCGCACGCTCGTAGGAAAAAGCTTTATCAGTGTTTCTACTACCAATCAAAAAGTGAAGGAATTACAAAGTCGCTTAAATATTATTGAGCAACACTTAAAGCGCAGTAGTATACGCCTATGTGGTTTAGAAGAAACTGATCAAGAAAATTTGGCCCATGCTGTATCTGATTTTTTTACTGAGAAGTTAAGTGTTTCGTGTGGCCTCAACGAACTTGATTCAGTGTTCCGCCCGCATAAGTAGCAAGAAAGACAAAGAAGCTAAGGGTCCACGTACCGTACTAATTAATTTTATGACAAATATAAAAAAGTCTGAAGTAATATCGCTGAAGAAAGCATTGAAAAACTTCCCGTATTCGATATACCAGGATCTTACTCGCTCTTGTTATGAGATTCTTTTAGCAGCTAAAAAGGAATATGGCAATAAGCAGGCTTGGCCATCTGGTGGTAGGATATTCTTTTGGGACAAAGAGAAGAACAAGAAAGCAGAGGTTATGTTACTTTTGTGGTTTTTCTTAATTTGGAATCAAGTTTTTAGTTTAGTTTAGTTAGATTTATACCCAAATTTTTTCAATATTTCTTATTATTATTTTTCTAATTTAATTTTTTATTTTTTGACTCATGGATTGCATGCATTGCTGCCCCGCTTAGCAAGTATGGCTGCAGCTGGCAGTAGTGATTGTCTGAACTTTTCACATTTAAACGTAAGATCTTTGTATTCTAAGTTTGACGCATTTGCGGAATTTGTTACGGCGGAGAAACTCGATATTTTGGGACTTTCTGAAACCTGTCTTCAGGGTGGAGTTGCTGATAATGCTTTACATATAAATGACTATAATATCGTAAGAAAGGACCTATGTTGCTTTCTATATCAAGAATTTTATAAAATACAAAATACTTGCCACCCCTTCTACGTCCAGTAAACTTGTGGATAAGCATCAAAACAAGAGGTAAAGAGCTGTGTTTTGGGACGTTCTATAGACCTCCACACGTTAATTTATCAGACTGTATCGATGAGTTGGAAAATATTCTGGTTTGTTTTTTGCCAAGGTACGACTGTGTTCCATATCCTATTCACAATCCGTAGTCCAAAGGTAAGGGTAAACTCATCACGTTTCCCTATCAAATAGCACTGAAAGATGATAAATTTTACCTTTACTTTTGGACATCGGATTGTGAATAGATAATAGTTGGAGGAGATTTCAATGTCGATTTGTTGAAGAATAACAGTGCTGGTACATTGTGCATGAATAATTTTCTAAATAAATATGGCCTCAAGCAGAGCTGTTGTACTGAGTATTTTGGATACTTGAAGTAAATACTTAGGTACAAAAATATACTTAAGTATTTGACTTAAGTACTAATCCAAACCTTGGTACTTGTACTTGCAATTTCAAGTTTTTGAAATTTTACTTGTACTTAATACTTAAAATATCAGTCAAGTATATTTTACTTGAAAACTTTTGAAAATTTGTACTTAAGTGATATTAAATTACTTAAGCACCAGTGAAATCACTTGAAGTAAATATTTTCAATTGAAGTATTTTTAAATACTTCAAAAATTTACTTGACGACTAAATAAAGTTTAGTCTATTCATCGCGTGACGTCATAATCACACGCACAAATTGCAAAACCAATTTAAACTGACGCAGCAATAGGTATGAGAAAGCAAAGCAATACAATAATGTCGATAATAGCTCTGTTCCAACCGACATGAGAAACGTTTAAGAACGGTAAT